AAACTCCCGCGCAATGTGAATTATCAGCTTTCCCCTGCGACCCAACCGCCTCCTCGATCGAGTCGAAGTGGGGCCCTGGCGAAAATGCTTCGTGTGTGGGCGGTGGAGACGCAGGTGGACATCTCAGATGGGCATAGCGCCGCTTCTGCCTTCATGGAAGAACATGCACGGGCAAGAAACTCCGGGGGACAGCGCTATACTTGCTTCTTTTTGAACGGATGTGTACAACACCATGTGATTATTAGTCTCTCCGTTCGATCCAGCCACCTTCTCGATCGGGTCGAAGCGGAAGACTTGCGAAAATGCTTCGTGGGCTGGCGGGGGGGACGCAAATCAGAGCCCCACTAACGCAGGCCGACACATTTTTCTCGCGAGTCACAGTTGAGGACAACGACTGAACGACCGACGGCGACGACCGACCGACCGACCGACCGACGAAAATCGACCAACCGACCGACCGACGCGCCGACCGACCGACCGACCGACCGACCGACCGGCCTTCCAGCCGACCGACCGACGTCGACGACGATCGATCGGCCGACAGGGAAACCTCTCCCTCGAAGAGTCATAGCACTGGTTGCACTTCCACGGCTCCGTGGGTTCCGTTTTGTGGGCCCGCCGTTCCTTTTTACGACTATACATTGTTCCACGAAAGCATGGGATCTACGAACCTCCAACGTCTACGAATGGTATCTGGAAGATCGCCTAGTGGGGTCCACGAGACTCTGGCACACACGCAAAAGGATCCATTGGGACCCATGGCTATTCTTGCCAAATTGATGCGCTGTCGGCCTGGGGGTATGTGCAGTCTGCGCAGACGTTACACGATGGCGCGGGCCGCCGCCCGTCGAGCTGCAGAAACCGCACTGATCGAAGCCAGCCGCTTGCAGCCAGGAGCCTCCGCCATCCGGACGAATCCGATCGGATCTTGCGGGTTCTTGCGGGGTATAGGGAAATTGTAAGGCGGCTGTAAAAGGCCAAGAAGGAGAACGGTCAAGTCCAGAGGAACCTGGCACGTCTTTAAGGATCCACAAGAATTCTGGGGAACCTTGGGGCATCGATGAATCTATGAACAACCCAGAGCACCCATCGCGGGATTTCGGAAGAATCCTCCCGAATCTGGGTGGGTCACGGAGAGTCCTGAGAAATAGTAGCTGCCGGGGGAGAGATCACGGGAAAGAGCCCGAACGACTCTTGGGGATGTATGAGGAAATCTGTGGGGGGCCAAAACGAATCTGCAAGAATCCTATAAAACACTTGTAGAAGGCACGGGGTACGGACGCCACATGGCGTCCCTAGGCTAGTAACACTACTAATAACGTGGTGTCTTGATACTCATAGGTATCGCATTGTAGTGTGCCACATGCAAACTACTCAGAAGAGATACGTCATTCAAAGACAAGGCTCCTGATACTGCTTCTTGCAGTGTCTCAGAATGTCCCATACGTACGACCCACTTCCCTACGTCTGGTGAGCTGACTGTCCGATTGACCGATTGGCTGACGTGGCGATCCAATGATCTCCTGGCAGTCCCACTTACAGACTGACACTGACATACTGCTTTGCTGACATACCTACAGGCCGACCGACCGACGTCCTGGCCATACTGCCTACCGATAGCCACTGACGTACTGCTTGACTGTCCCACCTACTGTCCGCCTGGTCAACTTATACTGCATTGGCCTACGTACTGCATGAGTGGCATACTGATCTAGGGCCTTCCTGGCCTGCGCACCTGCCTACCAGCAGCCCTGCTCTCGGCATACTTGCTGACCTACTGCTCTGCCGACCTGGCTGACGCCTGACACCGCATACCGCCTTACTTCCACAAGACTGAGATCTAGCAGACCAATCTCTGGTGACCGAGCGACCGCCTCTGACTTGTTTTCGTCTTGGGATGCTGCTCGTTTTCGTCGTGGCCCCCTCGTGGCCCCTCCGCGGGTTTGGAAGAGAAAAAATCCTCTCCCCTGTTTTTTCCCCTCGCCGTTGGGGCCCCTAGCTTCAGCTTCAGCTTCATACCGCCTCTGACTTGGCGTTGACTGTTCTCGGGCCCCAGGGCCATCAGACGACAATCCAGGGCTAATATCCCGTCCCAGCATGGGGAAAGGGTATACAAGAGGTCGAAAGGCCACCGCGACCGTTCGTGGTTCCCACATCGCGCCACGACGATCACGACGACGCAGGATCATTCCAGTCAGCATCGAATCAAAAAGTTGGACCGAATCGAAAGGTGCGAGGGATCGGGCTACATCGGCACGGACTCGACATCGAGTCGGATCGGCTAAGCCACAATGCGTAACAACGCCACGCGAACATCGGGCCGCATCGGATCGACAGGACATCTGAATCTAATCGGATCGAAGTGGGTGAACTCGACATCGAACCGACTCGGATCGAGCGGGCCCTGCGTCGTCGTGCCAGAGATCTGAAAGTGCCGGTCGCCACGGCCAGGCGTGGCACGAACAAGGTGGAGACAACGATGGGCCCGAGTCCTATCTTGGAGCGGATCTGAGATCAGACCCCTGCAACAAAAACAGGCCGCGGCAACGATGCGGTCGCCGCTTCCGACCTTCCAGGCGCCAGTCTTGCGGTCTTGGTCCCTGGGGCCGCTGATGAAGAGCGAGCAATCAGAGGTGGACAGACTCGATCTCGGATGAGACCGATCAGATCGAGATTCGGACGCGCGAACAGGGTACGGAACAAATGGCACTGATGCCAAACAGCGAACGATGTCCAAAACTGGCAGCGGCCACTGTTGGGCAGCCGACCTGCTGTCTCAAACGGACAGTGTCCGCGGCGACACTGATAGCGAGGCCTGGTCAGAATGAACAGGCGATGTCGTAGCTCTTCGCGCGCATCCTTGTCCAATTCGATCGTCCCGAGAAATGGACCTGTACTCCAGATCCTTCAATAAGCACCACCCCTGTGCCAACCTGTCCGACGTCCCTTGCCCGCCACCCCCCACGCGCCCCAAACCCACTCCCTCTCGCTCCCCAACCTCCCCACGCCCCCCGAAGGACTGCGGCTTCCCACCCCACCACGCAATCCACCCCCTCACGCTCATTGAGAGACCTGGAGTGCCCTGACGTGCTCCCCGCCGCCGAGAACCGCAGCACGAAGGAGCGGGGTTCGAGAAACCGCTCGCCGCTGCGGGCCCCCCACCCCTGGGGGCCCCCCGCGTGCCCCGCACCCATCCCAACAGCGGCCTCAGGATGATCGAGGAAGAAAGAGACGCATAAACGTAGGTCGGGCCTGTCCCCCATACAGGCGGATCTTGGACGAGCAATTAAAAATGTCCAAAGCATGCTCCCAAATGGACAAAAACAATAAACGATTCGTCCCCCGTCGATTTCTAAACTATTTTTGAATATTTCTCCTGTGGAAGGACATGCCCGACTTAACACTTGGCCCCCCTCCCTGGCGCGCGGAGCGCGCGAGGGGCGGCGCCCAAGGTGCCGCCCGGGGGGGGGGGGGGCCAGCGCTGCTTCGAGAAGTCCGCGCGGAGCCCCACACGTTTATGTGTATGCAGACGTCTCTGCTTCTTTTTCTTCTTCATATGAGTATTCTTCTTAATTGTTGCTCCTCCTTATTATTACTCTTTGCATCTCGGGGTGAAGAGCTAGTCCATGGACCACCCCCCGGGGGCTTGATGCTCGCTTCCGTCGCAGGGAACGTTCCGTTCTTGCCGAGGAGCCGCTCCAGGCTCGATCGCCAAATGCCAGCGCTATCGCCACCGCCACCATCGCCAACGTCGCCAGCATCAGCATCATCATCATCATCAGCAGCATCATCATCATCATCATCATCATCAGCATCATCATCATCATCAGCATCAGCATCATCATCAGCAGCATCATCACATCATCATCACGCCATCATCAGCATCACCGACATCGCCATCCGCATCATCAATCTGACCATCATCCTCATGTTCATCCTCATCCTCCTCGTCATCAGCTGCACTGCTTTCATCTTCGTTGTCGTTGTCATCACCATCCAAATCACCATCGCAATCATCACCATCATCATCATCCTCATCATCATCACCACCACCGTTAACAGCATACTCAGCATCATCACCATCATGATCATCATGCCCATCTTCACCACCACCACCATCATCATTATCAACATCAGCATCATCATTGCCACCATCATCGTCAGAAGCATCACCATCATCATCAACATCATCATCATCATCATCATCATCCTCATCCTCGTCGTCCTCCTCGTCCTCATTACCACCATCAACGCAGGCATCATCTCCCATCGCCACCATCATCAAACTCACCATCCAAATAATCATCACCATCACAATCATCATCTCCATCAGCATCACCATCATCACCATCATCATCACCACCATCACCAGCATCAGCATCATCGTCAGCAGCACCACCATCGCCATTTTCATCATCAGCATGGTTATCTTCATCCTCGTCATCATCACCAGCATCATCATCGTCACCACCAACACCAGTATCATCATCATCATCCTCATCCTCATCCTCATCCTCATCATCATCATCGTCACTGGCATCGGCATCGTCTGCGTCATCATCATCATCGTCATCAGCATCACCAACATCAGCATCGCCATCAGCAGCATCACCAACATCATCAGCAGCATCACCATCATCGTCATCATCGCCATCACCATCATCACCATCATAATCGTAATTCCTGTCACTCCTTCGCATCCTCAGCCTGGTGCCCCTCCCTTCCCCTTTTGCCCTCTCCTCCCTCCTCCCTCTCCCCCTCGTTCTTGCTCTTGCGACTCCTCCGCCCTGGCCATCCAGAGCCCCCACTCCGACACCCTCCCCATCGCTCCAAGGCACCCCCCTCCCCCTACATGGGGTGGCCTCCTCCCTCCACCTCCACCTCTTCCTCCCCATCATGCCTCTTCATCTCTCGTCATTCCCCCTCCACCGCATGTCTCACCCCCTCGCGATCCCTCCTGAACCTTCTATTCCCCAATCTTCCCGCACCCCCCCCCGCACCCGCCCGAAGAGCAGGCGTGCCTGCAACTGGCTGGAGCTTGACAGCTCGAAGCTGAAGGGCGCGTGCGCCTCATGATGAATCTGGCTGCAATGCTCACCGTTGCCCTGCTCCTGCTCCACCTTCCGATGCTGCTGACCATCCGCCTCTCGCCGCCCCTCTTCCACGTCTCTCTCCTCACTCTTCTTCTCCGCCCCTCACTATCCCCCCCTCGCCGCAGTGCCCTACGAGTCGGTAGGGCGGTCTGTAGGTGGCGATGCCCGAACCCTACCCCCACCAACCGTCCTCTCTCCTGAATCGATGGGAGGCGGGGACAGGGGTCGGATTTAGCCACGTGTTCGACGAAATCCGAACCTTACCCCCGCCGCCCATCCGAGTTGTCTGAATATGTGATCGGCGAGGGTAGGGCTTGGATTTCGCCGCCGACCAGCGCCGCGCACACCTCTGCCACAACAGGCCTCCGCAACTCTCCCAAAGCGGAGGGGGGCCCGCTCCCAAAACGGAGCCCTCGCGCCCAAGTGCGGCACGCTCCCCCCTCGGCCGCCGCGCAGGGAGCCCAGCGGCAGGGCGGGGGAACGACCGCCGGCAACGACGAGGGCACCAGCGAGGGGGGACAAAAAGCGGGAAAGCGCGGTGTGGCCGCGCCGCTGCCCCCGGGAACGGCGGGAAAAGAGCCACGTGTTGTTGGGAGAGTGTTCTCCTAAGCAGTGGCGGAAAATCGCCCGCGCACCGAGTCCGTGACATTTGTTTGTGCCCCTGCAGTCCTGGCTGGATTTGTCCGCCGGTGGCGCTGCAGGCAGCTGACGGCGAGTGGCTTCTGGCTGTCGGAGAAAAAAAAAAGCGCCGTGCACATTCGTCTCACAACCTTTCGCCAAGTCCAAGGACGACCGCGGCCTCTCGCCTTAGCTCCGCGCGCCTCGTCCAGTTGGACACGCGGCTCTAGCCTTAGCTCCGCGCGCGCTCACACCGAAGCCATCAAAGAGCTGCGGGTCTGGAGGACGACTCCCCTAGGGCTCTCTCTTGAAACACCTTCAGTGTACACAACTCGAACGTCATGACTGTGCAAGGGCTGCGCAGGTGGCCCAGGAACGGCCAAAGGCATCCAATAGGACCTAGAGAGACCAACATATCCTAAGGAGTTCCATAGTGACCCCAAGGACTCCCCATGGCCACGGGAAACCGAGAGAGCCTCAAGATGCCTCAAGACACCCCAAGAGGCGCGCAACAGAACCTGGCAAAGGCCTGGCAATCCCCCAAGCAAATCCCTCGGAACGTCTCGCGGGGAACCACTTGGATGCGACGCGGGCATGGGCGCAATCCCGCAACCCGTGAAATCAGCCACGGTGCCTCTGGGCACGGAGTGGGCGTGTCCTCAGGTCCTTAGCCTAATCCTCTAAGCCTCAATCCTCACTCCTGAGGAGGCTTCACGGGGCCCAGACCCCAAATTCTCAAATCTCCGGGGGCTTCCCGCGTGTCCCCTGGGGCTTCCCGCGTGTCCCCTGGGCTTTGCCAAGTGGTGGGGCGTGAATTGCAGGCCCAAGTGGGGCGTCAATTGCGGGCCCCTTTTCTCTTGCTCATGCTCCTGTTCATCCTCATACTCTACTACATCAAGGTCATCCTGCACGTCCTTCTCTTCCTCTCTGTTTCTCCTCTCTCGTTTCTCTCCTCCACCTCCGACGTTGCATTTGTTTTGTGACGTGGGCCCCCCGAGGTAAATCTTATCAGGAGCCGTTTGACTGGGAGCCAAGAGCCCGCCTCCACGAAAACCGAAAGAGAAAAACAAAACTGCCGCCACTATATTGTTGAAACGACCAAGTGTGGGGAGGGGGGTCCGCCCCCCTCCTCCTCATCTAGAAAGAGAACGATGTCATGATGCCGTTGAATCGGATCGTGTCCCACGAGCCAGAAGATCTAGCGGCCCTCGATCTCTGGAGTCCGCGCGGAACCAGAAAATTTGGCAATCTTGGAACGTACCTGACTGGGTCAATCCAAACCTGGGTCAGTCGGGCTGTGCAGCACCCCGCGAGCTCCTGCAGGATCCTGCACCCAAACCCGGGTCGGTGCACCCCGGGCGCTGCAGGATCCTGCAAAATCCGGCGCGCTGGCCGGCCCCCGTTTGCATGGACCCCCGCCTCGAGGCCCTCCAAAATTCCGACCTCCTGCTGCTTCCGGGCGTGGGCACATCCCCCTCTGGCGAAACCGTACCCCGAGAGTAGCGGCCGCGATCATGGCGACTTGGCCAGGTGGGGTGCTCTGTCACCCCCCGACAATTACTGGTCCTTCGATCCTCCTCCCCTGCGATCCCACGTAGCGAAACGTGTCACAACCGTGCGACATCGCAGCCGGAGCGCCAGACCTTACAGAATACTGCGCCAAGAACCTCACCGATCTGCGAGGGCCCTGAGGGCCCGTATCTGGGCGGAAACGCCGGACGTCAAAAATAGATGCGACGCCATTGACATTCCCAGACATCCGCCTGTGTGATTTGCTTCAGCGCGCCGCCCCAGAGACCCAGACTCTTCCCAGGGGCAATTTTTCAAACCAGGCCTGTTTGTGATGGTCCCAGGGCCTGGAAACGGCATCCGAAGGCCGAAATCTGAGAAATATCGCCTGGATTGAACACATCATATAGTCGGATATTCGGGGGGCATGGGTGGGGGAGACGACAGTCTGCGCTTCGGGGGATTTGCGTTAGCCCGACGGGGCCGTCAGGAAAATGACGAGCCAGTCTGGAATCTGACGCGAGCCCCCGCTGCAAGCATCCCACTAGAAAACGGGACCCTCAAAATCCAGTACGGGCCCGTCAACAAGCGTCGGCAAGCCCGAGCTCCTTCCCCGACTGAAGCTCCTCGTGTAGAGGCCTACCAGATTGGGTTCGAGTAAATGGAGTCGGGGCATCGCGCCGCATCGCCAATACATCCACGACGCATCGACGATGCATCGACGATGCGTCGGGGGTGCATCATCGGCGACGCCGTCGCGGAGAACATCGGACTCCACATCGAGCCGCACCGGTGATGCGGGGCGATCCTCCCACCCCATCTGCTCAGAGCCCATTGGGGCGACGAAAAGAAACGGGTCTTACGCGAGATGGCACAGCGACCTTACACCACGGCTCAGTCGGGCCGCCAGCGCGGCACGCCTCATTTAAGACGAGGGCGCTCACCCGCGAACTTACGTGGGCAGCTCACGCGCCGACGTCGGCGAAGACGGCCCCGTTTTCTGCCGTCGCGCCTTTGGGAGGCCAAGACTGAAGCTTCGGTGATCTTCTGACCCGGGTGAATCCAGACCCAGGTCAGTCAGGGCTTGCAGAATCCTGCACGATCCTGCACCCAAACCTGGGCCACTGCGAAGGATCCCGCAGGATCCTGCACCCAAACCCGGGTCGGTGCGGCCCTGGCCCTGCAGGATCCTGCAAAGGCCGGCGCTCTGGCTGACCCCCGTTGGCATTGACCCCCGTCTCTCTTGAGCCCCGAGAGCTGGTCGTCGCCCACGCCCCGGCAGTGCCCGGCCGCCTGCTTGCCACCCGCCGTGGCCGCGACGGCCGCGGCAGCGGCGAGCAGCCGCCCCGCGACCTCTGCACGGCGGGCGGCGGGCTGTGCTTGCCCGCCCTGAGCCAGCCCAGGGCTGGACCTAAGCGATGTATTTCGTGCTGTCTTCCTTTCTTGTTCTTCGTCTTGCTCCCACCTGTTCTCCTGCACCTCCCTGCCACAACGACAAAGAAAGCACGGCCGAAATCCAGCAAAACAGCGTTCAGGTCCAGCCCTGCTTTTGCTTGCGCAGTGGGCAAGAAGCCACTGGGCAAAGAATCCAGGGTCTGGGAACTGGTTGAGCGCCAACGGAGGCTTGGCCATGGACATCCCCGCCGCCCTCGTCAGACAAGGAATCCTCCAGTGTCTGAGGCTTCATGGGCACATTCCTGAATGAACGCCCCCCCCCCCTAGCGTGTCACGGCGGCGGCCCTGTGCTTTGCAAGCGGACAGCGTGAAGCTTCGTCTCGCGGGGGGGGGGCCGGCTGGGAAAGGCTCGGGGCGCTGACGCCTTGGGACCAGGACCCGTGGCTGGCGGCGTGTCGCGCCGAAGCGCGGTGGGCCAGAACCGGCGTCGCGAGACGCTACGGTGAGGGCATTGGATGAGGAGACCTTCGATAAGGAATCCAGGGTCTGGAAGCCAATGGAAAGCCAATCGTGGATTGGCCATGTATGTCACCGCCGCCCATAAGGAACCCTCCAGGGTCTGAAGCCTCCTGGGCACGTCCCTTAACGAACGCCCCCACCGTAGGCCAAAATTCCTGACGGTAACCCCGCCCATCGGGTGCGCCGGACTCAGACCTCCAACGACATGCTTGTTTCAAGCCAGGCGTGCGGGCATCGCAAAACAATCGTGACAGCACAATTTCTGCCGTGCTTGGCCTCTGGAGGCCGCTTCCCGGCTCTGGGACCGTCAAAGAACGGCTCAAGACGGAAAGCCGGTGATCACGTAAACAACAATGAAATATCAAACTTCACCTGCGTCGGAGAGGAGGGCCCCTGTGGGGAACTCGCGCAAGGGCCCTCGCGTCCTCTGAGGCGTAGTCTTCTCCCCGCAGAGGAGAAACCCTGGAGTTGCAAAAGTCCACGACAAGCTGGCGACTCCTGGAGGCAAGAGGCCAAACCCAGAGCGCACGCTGGCGAACCTTGGACACCGACGGCGAACCCGAGGAAGAACAGCCTCAAGCCCGGAAGCATGGCGGCCGAATCGATTCTGGGGTTCCCGCCGAAACGTTTCCTGGGTCCGTGGCAGGCCAGCCTCCTGGGCTGGACGAGGAGTCCCAGGTCCGAACTTTGACCCGCAAGCCTCCGTGAACTTCCACAGAGCCTGCCGGGGACTCTGCGGAGGCGGTGCGACGCAGGTGCGCTGCTGGTGCAATGCTGGTGCGACGCTGGCGTGACGGCGGCGTCACAGTGCGACGCTGGTGCGACGGTGGTGCGATGTTGGTGCGTTGCGGGAGGTTGCGACGGTGGTGCGACGGCGGTGCGAAGCTGGTGCGATGCTGGTGCGACGGCGGTGCGGGGGCGGCGTCGTGGTGCGAGGGTGGTGCGACGGTGGTGCGATGCTGGTGCGATGCGAAACGGTGCAACGGTGGTGCGAAGGCGGTGCGACGCTGGTGCGATGCTGGTGCGATGCTGGTGCGACGGTGATTTGACTGCGGCAAAGCGGTGCGACGATGGTGTGACGGTGGCGCGACGGTGTTGCGACGTTGGTGCGATGCGGGAGGGTGCAACGGTGTGCGGCGGTGGTGCGACGCTGATGCGATGCTGGTGCGATGCTGGTGCGACGGCGGTGCGAAGCTGGCACGACGGCGGCGACGCGGTGCAGCGGTGATGCGACGGTGGTCGAAGACCATGCGGGATGGTGCAACGGTGGTGCGGCGGCGGTGCGACGCTGGTGCGATGCTGGTGCGATGCCAGTGCGACGTCGGTGCGGGGGCGGCGTCGCGGTGCGACGGCGGTGTGACGGCGACGAGGCGGCGGCGACGGCGGCAATATGGCCGCCAGCGCGGCACACCAGCCCAGTTCGTTTGAGAATGGATTCGAACCCCCTATGTGTAAGCACTGTTTAGAGAACGTGTGCCACCGCCACCGAGAACCAATCGGTCGGGAGGGGGGCGACACCTGGGCGGTAGCACGCCCGAGCGTCACCCAGTGTAGGGAGCCAATGTTTGTAATGTGTTTCGCGGTAGCGCCCGTGACTGGCCCTGCCCCGCTGGCTCCTCCCCCGTCCTGGTCACGTCCCGATTCGCAGCAACGCCGTCTGGGAACTAGCCGTCCGCAGACGTTCCCAGACGGCGCCGACGCAAATCGTGACGTGACTGGCACCCTCCCCTCCCTCCCCCCCTCGGGGTCACGCCCGTCGTCGGGGATGGTAAACACAACAGCCTCCGTGCAGGGTGCGGCCCCCCCGCCGCTGGGTCTTCGGTGGCGGTGGCTTCTGTCTCTCCTGTAAGCTGTGCCAAGCACCGGCCAGAAGCCACTCCGCCTGCCTCCGCGTCCCGCTCCCGAGCGGCGCCCGCTCCCCGTTGAGTCGGCAAGGTTTGGCGGCGCCCGCCCGGGCGGGGCGTGAGGGGGGCGCCTCCTGAGAAGGCGGCGGGGCTTCTAAGAAGGCAGGGGACCTCATCTTTGAACCACATATTGAAACGGCCCTCGGGGCCTGGCGACGGCTCCTGGATGTCAACAAGCGGCGAATAACATTCCGTCACAACTTTCTCCCGCACTGCTAGGTTCGGGGGCAACGATAGGGGGAGATAGGCATAGAGGGGGACGCATCGACCCCCAATCGCCCATTGATCGCCGATAGGGGCCCGATAGCCCGAACCTGCCCAGGAAGGTGCGGACTCACTATCAGAGGCCTATCGCCGATCTATCGGCGATCTATCGCCGATTCCTGATCGATGCATCCACCCCTGTGCCAGTCCCCCCTTCTCGTTGCCCCTCATAGGTGGGGGTGGACGGTGAAGGATGTCCCAATGGGGCACATGATGGAATCGCGGCCTCTCATCTGTGGAGTCTGCAGGGCACGCGCTGCCGGCTTGGTCGGTCGGACAAATGGATGAATTGTATACCCTGACGACCGTCATGGCGCCCAACGGCAATCCAGGCCGCCGCGCGACAGCAGGGGGGCGCGAGGGAGTGGAAGGGGAGTCCTCCCCCTCCCACCACCACCTCCCGCTCGCAGAGGGAAGTAGGCGGTGGATCAGCAAGAGAGGAGGAGGAGGAGGGAGGGAGCAGGAGGAGGAATTGGGATCAGGAATCAGAACAGCTGCGGAAACACAAGGAGAAAGAAGAGGAGGAGGAAGAAGAGGAGGAGGAGGAAAAAGAGGAGGATAGCGACCTTCGACCTTTTTGACCTTGCTCTGGCGGGCACTCCCTGATGAGCAAGGGCCCAACAGCCCGGTCAGGCCCTCTCGGAAAAAGGTCATCCCACTCTCTGGCGGCAGCCCGCGGGAGAGGCGCGACAGCACGCTCAGCCCCGCCTTGGTCGGGGGGGCCGCGGGGGGGAACGAGGGTGGAAGTGCACACCTCCGCCAAGAGCTGGGCGGTGTCTATACAGCGCCGCCCGCAAGCTCTGCACTACAGCACTTCCTTCGCACAGCCAAGGGCCTTGAGAGACAAGAGCCCCCTGGGGAGAGCACGACGCGAGCGGGCCGCGTCGGGGCCTGCGCGCAGTGGAGGTGTCCCACAGAACTTCCCAGGGTCGAACTCGACGAGATTGCCAAACACTGAATATCCTCCTGCACGGCTGGCACCGAAACAGACCGTTCGCGAGCACGGGAGCGTGGCCCGCGACAAACAGCCTCTGCCGACGGACCACGTCAGCATGGAGGGCCCTGGGGAGGGGAGGCTGCCTGCCGACGCGGTCCGCCTTGAGACGAGAGCACGGGAGCACCACCTCGCGATTTGCCTCCAGAAGGCGGCGCAAGACGCTTGAGGACATATCACCGATCTGCGAGATGGGCCGAACATGCTCGAGATTAGCCTGCCCTTCTTGCAGCGGTCACACCAGCAAGCAGGTCAGCACAATAATTCAACAGGTGTTCGGTTTCGCTTAGGCCCCACGACGAACGCATAGATGACGTGGCGTGGGCGTTCGTGCCGATCAGCTCGACTTCCCCCGAACGGCTATCGAGACGATCCCAAATCAAGCAACACAAGTCCATCGTAGGCGAACCCACAGCGATCGAAGCTCAAGTGCGTCTGAGGGCCCGCGCGAGGGGAAGGTAGTCCGAGTGAGCCAACACATCTGCGGCAGGGCGGCCGAGAAACATGGGAAGGCGAACAGCTCCGCCCTCGGATCACTCTGCTGCTCGGTGGACAACGTGCCGCACACGACTCCATCAGACCAGGCTTCGCCAAGAACGCTGTCTTAAGAACGCTGTCTTCACCAAGTCGGACTGCTGACCACCTGCACCTTTTGAGACGCCAATTTTTCGCGAACCTGCCCCCAGATCCTTCCAGTCCCCAGATGCCTCCGTCCAAGATCTGCCCCTGATCCAGAATACACCACCCCAAGGTGATCGAGGCGGGTGGCGGAATACGACCCACGGCGGCAGCCAAGGTAGGTAAACCACAGGTCCAGAAAACACTCTCATGGCAGGCCGTTTCGGCCTCAAAAGCCTCTGGACACAAACTCTGGGAAACATGCGTGGGGTCCGTGTCAACATCGGAGCTACATGAGCAAGGCCAAGCTCTGTGCACTATCGTCTCTGGCGCTGCTCCGCACCGCTCACGAATCCCAGTGGACAGGTACCCAGCTGAGCGCAGACGGTCTTCAGGCCAACAGCCCGCAGATACTATTACGCAAAGCGGCGCTGCATCTTGGTGAAACCCGTTCTTCAACAAGCTGGGCATGGATGCGAATGAACACTGTGAAGACAACCCGTGTCTCGAGCCCCCCTCCACACTAATGTTTAGCAACGTCATCCCACACCTGTTCTGAAACCGTTTCCCGAGCACGCACGCTTGACTGGAATGAACACTCAGGGGCCCCGGCGCCCAGGATCCGACTACAAGGATTGCCCATCTGGTGGGCGCTTCAGGGGCCCACCCTAGATCAAGATTGTAATAGCAACGGCAATGGGACCTTTCACCGTCCTCCATCTACGATCAGCAGGCAAAGCAAGAAACTGACCACGGATGATGCCCCAAGCGTTCACGGCTCCTTGGCGCATGCCAGCAAACATACTGCGCCACGCACTCGGTATCGCCTGCAACTGTTCACGGCGCAACCGATACCTAGGACCATATTTAAACTGATGCCGAATCACAAGCACTGTGGACGTACACGATCCTGACATCCAATATCCTGAACACTTGGCCGTTGAAGCCCTTAAAGCACGAACTTCTGCTGGAGGAAGGCCTATCACACTGTGGCTCCACGTAAACACGCTGAGGACCCCTGGTTTGAAGAGCTTGCTGGATCGCCCGCAGAGCCTATCGAGGTACTACAGCTTCCGAGCCCTCCGAAACGCCGTCCTCCCCCTGACCCGCCAAGACAATTTTGTCCGTGAGTGTCACATTTGACAGCGAGCCCTCTAACTCGAGCAAACGGCTGCTCGTGTGAATCAGTAGGCCTAGATACAACAAGTGGGGCGGATAGTCCAGCTTCAGCAATCCGACATTGACGATATCAACGAGACGCCTCCATATCCCAGTGCGCGGTCATCGACTCAGAACCGAGGGACCCCGCGACCTCGTGTGACACAGCCCCCATGAGGGCACCCTAGGAGGAGGAGGAGGAGGAGGAGGAGGAGGAGGAGGAGGAGGAGGAGGAGGAGGAGGAGGAGAGGGAAGGAGGAGGAGGAGAGGAGGAGGAGGCGGAGGAGGAGGAGCAGGAGGAGCAAGAAGAGGAGGAGGGGGAGGAGCAGGAGAAGTAGGATGAGTAGGGGGAGGGGTAGGAATAGAGGAGTGGAGAAGTTCGAGGAGGAGCGGGAAGTGCAGCAGGAGGGGGGATGGGAGGGGAAGGAGCCGCCCCCGAGGGGGCGCGCGGGCGGCGCGATGCTGCCGATCACACGGTGCGCCAAGGGCCCCCGAGCAACTGCGCCGTCCCCAGAGGAGGAGGAGGGGGGGAGGAGGGAGGAGGAGGAGGAGGAGGGGTGAGGAGGAGAGGAGGAGAGGAGGAGGAAGGAGGGAGGAGTAGGAGAGGAGGAGGAGAGGAGCAGGAGGAGCAAGAAGAGAGGAGGGGGAGGAGCAGAGAAGTAGGATGAGTAGGGGGAGGGGTAGGAGTAGAGGAGTGGAGGAGTTCGAGGAGGAGCGGGAAGTGCAGCAGGAGGGGGGAGGGGAGGGGAAGGAGCCGCCCCCGAGGGGGCGCGCGGGCGGCGCGATGCTGCCGATCACACGGTGCGCCAAGGGCCCCCGAGCAGCTGCGCCTTCCCCACTCTCTCCTCGTGCTCCTCCTCGTCCTCGTCCCGATGCCTCCTGGTCCGATCCCCTCCCCTTCCTCCCCTCGCCCCTCCTCCTCCTCCTCCATTTCACTCCCCGCCATTCCCTCCCTCCCTCCTCTCCCTCCCTCCCTCCTCCTCCTTCCTCCGCTCCTCCCTCGTCATCATCCCCCGTGCGTCCTATCCTCCACCTCCTCCTCCTCCTCCTCCTCCTCCTCCTCCTCCCCCTCCTCCGCCTCCTCCTCCTCCTTCCTCCTCCTCCTCCTCCTCCTCCTCCTCCTCCTCTCCTCTCCTCCTCCTCCTCCTCCTCCTCCTCCTCCTCCTCCTCCTCCTCCTCCTCCTCCTCCTCCTCTCACCCCTCCTCCTCCTCCTCCTCCGCCCTCTCTCCTCCTCCTCCTCCTCCTCCTCCTCCTCCTCCTCCTCCTCCCTCCTCCTCCTCCTCCTCCTCCTCCTCCTCCTCTCCTCCTCCTCCTCCTCCTCCTCCTCCTCCTCCTCCTCCTCCTCCTCCTCCTCCTCCTCCTCCTCCCTACTCCTCCTCCTCCTCCTCCTCCTCCTCCCCCTCACTCCTCCTCCTCCTTCTCCTTCCCGCCTCCTCCTCCTCCTCCTCCTCCTCATCCTCCGCCTCCGCCTCCCTCCTCCACCTCCTCCTCCTCTTCTCCTCCCTCTCCTCCTCCTCCTCCTCCTCCTCCTCCTCCTCCTCCTCTCCTCCTCCTCCTCCTCCTCCTCCTCCGCCGCCGCCTCCGCCTCCGCCTCCTCCTCCTCACCTCCTCCTCCTCCCTCCTCCCTCCTCCTCCTCCTCCCCTCCTCCTCCTCCTCCTCCTCATCCTCCTCCTCCTCCTCCTCCCTCTCCTTCTCCTCCTCCTGGCGGATCGCGGGCGACAACGCCCTTTGCGACTTTCCCACAACGCCCACACATCGGGGGGTGGCGCCAGATGCGACGACTGGGACCGCGGCGGCGATACCCATGCGACAGGAGTGCAAACCCCGGGAGGAGGAGGAGGAGGAGGAGGAGGAGGAGGAGGAGGAGGAGAAGGAGGAGGAGGAGGAGGAGGAGGAGGAGGAGGGAAGGAAGAGGAGGAGGAGGAGGGGAGGAGGAGGAGGAGGAGGAGGAGGATGGAGGAGCAGGAGAGGGAGGAGGAGGGGGAGGTGCAGGAGAAGTAGGATGAGTAGGGGGAGGGGTAGGAGTAGAGGAGTGGAGGAGTTCGAGGAGGAGCGGGAAGTGCAGCAGGAGGGGGGAGGGGAGGGGAAGGAGCCGCCCCCGAGGGGGCGCGCGGGCGGCGCGATGCTGCCGATCACACGGTGCGCCAAGGGCCCCCGAGCAGCTGCGCCTTCCCCACTCTCTCCTCGTGCTCCTCCTCGTCCTCGTCCCGATGCCTCCTGGTCCGATCCCCTCCCCTTCCCTCCCCTCCCTCCTCCTCCTCCATTCCCTCCCTCCCTCCCTCCCTCCCTCCCTCCCTCCTCATCCTCCTCCTCTCGTCATCCTCCCCCGTGCGTCCTCGTCCTCCTCCACCTCCTCCCCCGTCCTCCCCCTCCTCCATCTGTCCTCCCTCCCCTCTGCCCTCTTCCTCCCTCCTCATCCTCCTCGTCCTCTTCCTGGCCCTTCTTCCTTCTCCATCCGCCCCTCCCTCCCTCCGCATCATCCTCATAGTCATCCTCCCGTTCCCCCTCCTCCGCCTCCTCTTCCTCCTGCTCGTACCCAAACGCGCCCCACGATCGCATAGCGAGCAAACTCCAATTGGAAATCATCACGAGGGTAATTGTCGTGAGTGCCGTTGCCAAGAAAAGAACTCACGAACCGAAGCAACGTCAAAACCGCACAGGCTCAACTGCCGTGGGAGTTGGTACGTGGTGGACAGGCGCGGAGCAGAACGCAAATGAACGCAACATGCGCCCAAGACTCAGACGTTCCGACCTAGCAACGGTGAACTGTCCTCGACGGCGGCAAACATGACCCGTCGAGATGACATTTAACATCATCATCTTCCAGAAGTAGTGCCGCGCATGCTACACCCGCGGCTCGGTTAACCCATCGAAATGGGCGACACTCGCCAACTGCATTGCCTCCGCGTTGCACTCCCGATAGGCATGACGGTCGA